TTTCTGGTTCGTTTATATTTGTTTAGAAAGCGGCGTACCGTTGTAGGGTCGCGTCCGAGTATTTTTGCGATTTGAGCAGCATTTGTGGTGTCCATGAACGCCAAAATCTTCCCCTTTTCAATTTCTTTAAGCTGTGTATAGGTGGACACCATTTTTTAACCTAACGAAATTATAGTGTTAACGAAGTGGCAAAAGATAAATAAAGTGATGTTTATTGTCAAAAAAAGGAGAAAATTTAACAAATGTATTTTTAAAAAATGGGTACACACGTAAATCGGGCGATACTTTCTGTGGAATACTGTACATGTTCGTAGTTTTTAAACCAAAAGCGCATACGTACTAGCGTAAATTGTTTTATGTGTAAGTTCGGAATATAAAATATATCTAGATACACAAATTTAAGTAAATCCTGGTCCCTTCACCATATAAAACTTGCACCATCACAGCCACCAACAGGCGTTAGAAGAGGAATTGGAATTGCGCTAGACGTAGCAAAGAGGTAAATTGTCGAGATCAAAAAGATCCTCAGCAAGTTTTTTGAAGGAAGACATAATAAAAAAATACTTGTTGCGTAAGCATGAGCAAAGATTTACATTATCGCGATAGTAGTCAACATTAACTAAATATGGGTATCACTGTTTTGCCAACAAACGTCACTTGCTATTATTTGATGTTACGATCAGGGACCTGGAATAATTCTGATATATAGATATCAGTATAAAATGAAACTTTGAAATAGATTTGAGTTATAAAGATTGTTGATAAATAATGAATTGTCGTAGATATCATTATCACAATGGCTGGCTTCGCCGTGGTGTTTGATGGCATCGAGGCTTAAATATCTGATATATCGGAGACTACGCTCATGTGATTTTACTTTATTATGACATTAAGTTTTTACTGTTTAAAAATGGCTTTTTTACCAATGTCCCAATCAGCTCATTCATTACCGTAAATTGCGTTCTATAGTCCCCCCCGTAAATAACCTAAAGAATTTAAACCTCAATTTAACCTCAAGGCTGGTAAATTATTAACTAAAAGCTTTTAAGAAATTACACTGTGAATTTAAGTTTATTTGTTTGTGAATCAATATTTTTGTTTATTAAAAAAGCCAGATTAAATTGAAGTTTAAATTTGTTGGATTTATTACAAGGAGAGGTACTTGAAAATAAAGAAACTGACACAGCAACTGTATTAAATAAAAAAGAAAATAAAAATAAATCAGCTTATGATTGGTCGAAAATAATTTTCTCTGATGAAACTAGTGTGGAAATTGGAAAGCAGTCACGACAGCCAAGAGTTTGGTAGCATCCTGGAGAAAAGTTTAACGTTAATTATAGCATCTACCTTTAAAGTGGACGAAAATCTTTAATGATTCGGGGATATTTCGCGGAAGGACCATTAATTTTTTGTGATGAATATAAAAAATGGCGAAAAATAACTGACTGGAAGTTACGCAATCTTTCAACATGACAATGCGTCGATACATACTGCGGAAACAATCAAAGGAAAATAAAATTGTGATTATTAATTGGCCAGCAAACTCCCCAGACCTGAATCCAATAGAGATCATTTGAAAGATTTTAAAGGACAATATTCAAAAAAATGAGAAGTTTCCGACGACTGTGGACGAACTTAAGATTGCACTGAAGATGGAGTGGGAAAAACTTGATGTGGCCATTTTAGAACGAGTTACTGTATCAATGCCACGAAGAATTAATGCAGGTATTGGGGGCCAATTAAATATTAATAAATTTTATTTTTATTTGGTGTAAAATTGACAAAAATCAAATAAATTGAAAAATGGATCTAAATTTTTATTTTTAATTTTGCATCAGTTGATACTTTCTGTGGGTACTGGACATATAAACCATTTATATGAATGTAATGGAAAAAAATAACGTTAAAAGATATTAGTACAAATAGTCTAGTCACGTCAACAGCCGCGCGAAGCGTTGAAATTTTGACATTGATCTTAGATTATTTTTTGTATTATTAATTAAATTTTTGTTGATTTGTGCAAAAAAAATAATAACTTTTTTAAAACCTTTTCTTCAATACTTATTTATGAAGTATTTTGATCACAGTCAAATTAGCAGAGATTCAGATGCTAGGGCAAAAAAAGCAAAAATATTTTAAATAAGGAATAAAGAATATATGTTTGCAAAATAAGTAATCGAGCGGATCAACAAAATGACAGACTCTCAAGGATGAAGGAATGAACTGTGCAAACCGCTGCACATGCAGCTAAGCTACACGGGTGTGGAAACAACGCGATCGTCAACTATACATATGCAACCATACATGCTGATCGTTGATATAACAAACTATACCCATAGTAAGCTAACCCACTGAAACAACATGATCATCAATTGCATATGAATAGCCTACACGCTGATCACTGAACACACTTCACCCAAGCACTGCTGTGTCAGGAATGTTAATTATACACTTCATTTTTTGATATATAAATACATAAACAAGATCTAACTTACAAAATTGTGGGATTCTTGGTCGCCAATTAAATGATCGGGATGATAAATCAGCATTACGATATAATTCAAGCCTGTACTATGATGATGTGGCACTATGATGTAATAATTAAATACTTTTGTACATCTTTCTGCAAACCAATCAAATCACAAGATATGAGTAATTCCATGTATGATTTTACCCAAGGTCGTATCTCAGAGCAGATGGCCCTGTAGCCAAACGTTGGATAAAAACATCGGGGTAAAGCAGTACGTGCTCAAGGTTGACTTGAATCTTATGATCATAATTGCAAGGTTTTGAAGTGGGTATTATTAATTATAATAATGGCTGTCAATTTTAGAAATCGAAAATTGGGTTGTGCATATTATAACATGGCTACTTCCACTTTATATATAATGGAAGATATGGAAGAAAATAACACTCCTTATGATTTACTTGATTTATGCAAGTACATGTATAAATTAATTTTACTCAATTCACATAGATGTTTAATTCTTTAAAATTTGAATCAAATCGCCTCACGTGCGGATAAAGACTTTATAGAAGCATTAAAAACCACCGGTATAACTATATTCTTTATTGTTTCATTTACGAATTCTATTTATCAATACTTTATGTATATATAAATACGAAAGATGAATCAAATTTCCTAGAATCTACCGTCGAGATTCGCCCAAACGTTGAATTCGTATGGGCATCAGCAAAAACGAAACTTTTATCGATAAAGTTTGGCGGGACTCACGGATTCAGTTCGGTACAAATCAACGCTACAAAAATAGACAAATATTTGAAGCTATCAAATATTATTGATATGAATAGTGTTGAGGCAGTATGTTTTAGTTTAATTCGCTATGTTTTATACTTTGTTTAATATCGATTTTGTGAACCGTTTCAGATCTGTTGCGCAGGTGTATTGCTTATCTATATTGCAAGAGTAAGATTCACAGATGAATTATTGCATTAGCAAGATCAAGACCTCAAAATACTGTCTATTGAACAATTCCCGTTGTAAGTTATGCACAGTGATACTTATAAACTGGTTTGTCTTTCTTTTAACTTTAAACTTTATAGGAAAACATTTCTGCATGTCAACGCTGATATTCTTTGATATTCTTATTATTTGATTTCTCACCAATTTATATTTGATCGATAATTAATGAAACTTGAAATATTCAGCTCACTCCAAATCTTCGAGGATGTGTCTCATCAAAATATGCATGCGTGATCTCGAGCAAAAGAAGGGTTGTCTATTTTCGGTAAACCACAACGTAAACCTATAAAAGCAACAATCCTAACAGGCTATCACAATGAGCCACAATAACTTTAACGATGATAACTCAGGAGTGCTCAATAGAACAAGAACACCGGTCGGCAAACAACTCTTTAAACAATGGTTTCTTCGACCAAGCCTTGACTTAAATATCCTGAAGAGAGATTTCGTAGCATGTCAAAAATATCCCAAAAATACCGAAGAGCATGAAAGGGAAGTTGAATATTGCAGAGTGGCAGTCATTGTTGCAGTGACTTTTAATTTATGTTTGAAATATGTGTGAATGGATCTAATTAATTTTGATTCGTAGTTCACTTATTGCTGTCTTAAAATTCGTAATCTTATTCGAGAATTGAATTCCTCGGAAAATATACAAATATTCAACCAAGTATCGAATTTCAATTTTTTATTGCCTTTTGCATTTTTTTGATTCAGAATATTATAATTAGATAAGAGAAACTTTCGTTGTTACCGAGTTGAAAGATCTTGGTTCAGTTATAAATGATGTGGTATGTTTTTGACATTGTAAAGTTGACAATTCCCGAATGAATTAGATTTCCTGTTACAACTTTTGTAGATTGATTTCGATGAAAGCGCAAATAAAATTGCGTTGTGGTTAAATTGCACGTCGATGAGGTATGTGCTTGTTTTTAGCCTTCATATATTAAACTATATAAATATCTACCTTGAATTAAATATTAAAAACTCGATGAAATGAAGAGAGCGTACAATGGATTGGATGATTTTTTTGGTAAATATTCTCTGAAGTCGCACGAGAAATTGCTACAACAATCCCAAGTGAATTCGCATCCACATTGAATGTCATTTACTTTCCTCAGCTCGGGTATTTGATTGCCGTTCCATTGAAACTTGAATGGAAAGAGGAAGAAGACTTCCGGATTGAAGGATTGTATTATCAGGTGGGAGTAATTTAATTAATGTACTGTACTCATCAATAAATACATATCTTAATCGAATTTTTATTTTTAGTTTAGCACAGCGACAACTGTATATTACAAGAATGATCGAATGCGTGATAATGAAATAAATAAATGAAAATTTAGATGAGAATTTGAATTCAAAAAATTTCAGAGCTTGATAAATATTTTGGATTAATAGTTGGTTTATATGATATTGTCAAATTTTAATATGTCTAACAATTAATTATAAAAGCTTTTCCATCCAGACCGCAAAATGAAATCATGCAACGAATTTAAGAACGAGCCAGTGAGAATACAGCGTCACTATTAGCGTCGACAGTAGTTTGCGCGGAACTTGATTGGTAAAGATAATCTATTTAGCATTAAATCAATAATTAAAACTATAATTAATCAAATAAAAAGCCTTCTTTCTTTGGCTGAGTCTGCTGGAAGATATCATTATTCAAGACCGCAGATGACGGAAGAAAATATACTGAAAATATAAAAGGAAGGTAATTTATCTAATAAGTATCCAATTAAGTTAGTTCAACCTTTGTATTAATTTATCAAATTAATCACTCAATTAAGAAATCCACTTCAAGAACTTTGCGTTGATGTATTTGTTGCGAATGACACGAATTTAACGGGCGGCAAAGGAACAATAAACCAGAAAACAAAGAGAATGAAGATTCAATTTTCCCAGCAAATCATGGATCTTTTACTTCAATGGTACCAAAAGGTGTTATGCTGCTAAGTGGCGTAAATTATTCAAGGAAAGGTGTTTATTTGAAACAAGTTGCTGTGATTGTGTTTATAGCACATATAGGAAGGTGAGAATATATTTTAAATCGAGAATTTGTGACTGTGGAATATTTTTATCTCGAATATTATTTTTGTGTTTTTTATAGCTTTGTTCCAGCAGAGTCCGCTGCTATCGGACTTATAGACAAGATATTTACACAAGTGCAAACGCGTGAAACTATCTCAAAGGTCGGTGTTTTCAGTTTTTGGCCTCAAAAAAATATTTTCTTTCTTGAATCATATTCAAAGAAATATATTTTTCGCTTAAATTCTAGATTCAAGGTGCATTCATGATCGATCTACAGCTGGTTTTAGTTCTATAGAACGATCATTGCTTATACATGTATTTGATGAATTTGGAAAAGGACTGGTATTTTATATTGTTGATTTCTCTCCTGTTGCATAATTGATTACAAAAAATAAATATAAAATTAAAAAAGATAGCGCCGGATTATTTTGTGGAGTGATCGAACATTTAATCAATCGAGGGCTAAAATGCCCCAAAGTGATTGCTGCAATACATTTTCATGGTAAATTAATATTATATTTCTGCCGGATATCCATAAATATAAGATTTTTAAATAACACTTTTGAATTAATTTGGCTAGAAATATTTGAGAACAATTTAATGCCTCCTGATCTGCCTATTTCTTTTGCGACAATGGAAATAATCAAAAATGAACAAGACGAAGAAATCACATTCCTGTATCGGTAATTATTTCGATTTGTTTCATCAAAATTTAGATGTTATCGTATTTTTATCAATGTATTTATAATTAAACAATTAGACTTGTTCCAGGAAGGAGTACAGCATATTGGGGTACTTATTGTGCTACCTTGGCTGAAGTTCCAGAGAACGTAGTTCAACGAACGGGTATCGGTGGGTTAAAGGTAATTATATAAAGGCAATTTGTACATAATTATATAAAGGCAATTTGTACACAATTATAAGCAATCATATAAATCAGAGCTTTAAAGCACGCTTTATTTTACGCAACTTGTTTTTATACATTGGATCAGGACAATTTATTGCATATTTTATAGGAGAAATTATATTAAAAAGAAAACGATGATAAATTGTGGAAAAATTATCGAAGAAATTATTAGAAAAAATTATATAACGATAAGGAGTCCCACGAAAGAAATATTGTACCAAATAAAAAATAAAAAAAATAAACCAATAACATTCCAAATGTTACCGTGTAACAATATCTATCACGCGTCACAAAAATAAAACATGCTTACCTTTCCCAAATTATAAATAAAAAACTGACTTATATTTCTTGCTAAAAAATATCGTATGGTAACCTTATTTTTTATAAATTACTGACTACACTACAGTACAATAGAACATCGACTTCTCAACAGTTTTGACAGGGCGTAGATTGATTTTCCGTTTACGTAATTATCTAAAATCAAAGATAGAAGAAAAGTCGACAGACATTTTAAACAAAGCAATATCAGGAAATTAAATATAGAAATCAGTAATGCGTTGAAAAAAGAATTCATAAAGACTTTGCCGGACCCTAACATCGCTGGGGAGAAAATGGCCAATATCTCTTCCTTTGCTATATCGAACAAACAATTGTGAGATATTTTGTGGAACCTGTTTTATGTAATCTTCTTGGTTTATATATCATTAATTGAATTTACTTTCTTTGTTCACTAATATTTTCAATATTTTTCAGAAACATTTGAATGCTGATCCATCAGTTAATCCGATGTGCAGCGAATTATTCCATTTACCAATTCGATAATTGAGATGAGAAATATCAACATCATCTCGGATAAGAAACCATCTTACGAACAACACAAAAAGAAAAAGAGAATAAAGGACGAAACGGTGATGCAAAACATATAAAGAGCTAGATGCAACTTTTTTAAGTGGAAAAAAGAGGAAAATCTTAAATCTATTCTAATCAAAAACATTGTCTTCATTTTTACTATATCATGTTTTTTCTTGTATGATTGTGCAATGACAGGATGGTATTTTCTCAGGGAAATGAAAGAACAATGGGTCAAAACACAGTTAGTATCTCGTGTTATTGAATCAAATAAGGCCTAGTGAAATTGAATAAATGCAGAAAAAATAGTTTCTAACTACAACAAAGCATTGATTTTTCCAAAAATAAAAACAAAAACTTGTGAAGCTGTAAAACAAAAAACAATAGTAAAAATTTGGACGTATAGCTTAAGGACTTCTCAACAATGTATACAAGCCAAGAGTAAAGATAACTTTGAAAAGCAATTGTTATCAATTTGAAATATACACCCTCCTACCAAAAGTATCCGACACTTTTGATGATCTGCATAAATTCGAGAATTGTATCGAACATTTAAAGTGATCTTTCTCAAAAATTGCATTTACGACCCTTAATAAAATTTATATTTTTGAAATCCTCTTGTTATGAACTTTTTATTTATAGCATCAATATGGAGTAGGATTTCCTTCACTGGCAATTACAGCAGTAACTCTTCTAGGCATGCTATTTACTAAATTTTCTAAAATGCTTTTATCAATCTTGGACCACTCATTCTCTAAAACTAAAGCCAGTTCTCTCTTATTTTTTGGCATGGGTTTGTGTTCATGCAATTTTCTTCCAAGATAATCCCATAAATGTTCAATTGGATTGAGATCTGGACTCTGAGTGGGCCATGGAAGAGAAGCTATTAAATTTTCCTCTTTCCAGACAAACACAAAGTTAGCTCTATGAACAGGAGCATTATCATCTTGGAAAATATATATTGTTTCATCATCTAAACCTTTGATAAAAGGAATTAGATAGTCTTTTAAAAGTTTTTTTATAGACCTGATCTGTAATTGTTTCTTTTAAAACTACCAACAGACCAAGTCAAGTTTTAACAAGACAACCCCACATTATTACCTCTTCACTATTACTCTTTACAATAGGCACTAGACATTTTATATCATATTTCTCATGAGATCTATGCCAAACCCATTGCTTACCATCATTTTCAAATAAAAGAAAGTGGGATTTATCACTCCAAATGACTGTATCCCATTGTTTATTCCAGTCACAACACCATTTTAAGTATTTTACTTTGTTGCTTTCAGAAATAAAGAGTTTTCTCTTTCCAATACATCCAACAAACTCATTGTTATAAAGTACATATCTAGTGGTACTAGTACTAACCTGAATAAGATCTAGGCTATTGAATTTCTTGATAATTTCCTCAAGCAACTCTTTCTCATTATCTTTAGTTATCTGTACAAGAGTTTATACTTCATGCTCAGTCAAAAGAGATGGTCTACCTGAATGAGAAAGAGATTCAGTGAGTCTCTCATTTTCAAATTTATTTATGACATCAATACAAGTAACTCTGAATATTCTAAGTATTTTTTAAATATCTATAGCACTACATTTACCTTTATGAAGTCCAACAATCATTCTACATTCAAAAATGATAAGTTCACGAGACTTAGATATTTTTTATAAAATATAATATGTAAAGTTAAAGTTTGACTCTATGATTTTAAAAGCTGCAGCTTTTGTCTACTTGTCAAACAACGTCGTTGTGTCGTCATCAATGTATATTTTTGAACTCATGCAAAGAAGTATTCTATAAATTTTTTGATTCTTTATGTTTGCTGGAACAGTATGCCTAAAGTCGGCAATGAAAGCATCAATATGTAATAATATATTTCCAGAGTGAAAGTCATTATCCACAAATGCCTTATGTAAATTATTATAATATAAATTTTATTCCCAAATCAATTTTCGTAAATGTACAATATCTACAATATAAATTTTATTCCGGGTTCCAAGTCTGTGATTTTTAAATTTTAAAAATACTTATTATGTTTAAAAATTTATAATTTGATAAATAAAAGCCGGGTGGGCGGGTCATATTATAGAACTTATGTTATGAGAACCAAAAAGTTTTGTATGGCCTAATCTTGAGTGAATTTTTTCATTTTTTTATTAATTTTACCAAAATATTTTATGTTAGTTTCTATAATACGAGATAAATAAATAGAAACGAAATAAATCGTAAAAGAATTCATAAGCCTTATCTTAATAGAAATGATAATTTTAAATATAAAAAAAGTTTGAAAGCTGTTACAATTGAAAACTGATATCCATTTCCTAAACTTTTGTTAACTTAAAATTCATTTTGATGATGCTTATTGGATTTTCTCCACCTATTCTATTCATCATCGGGATTCCCGATATCTAATTCATATTGAAGTGTTTGATATTCTGATGCATCTTCGTTTCCTTTTGGTCATGTATGCAAAAAAATGCTATATATATTTTGTAAATAAAATACATATGTTTTGAAATATGGTTTAAAGTAAATACACCTTTTTTAACATTCTTTTCATCTTGCTTCGAAATTGATATCTTTCCCCATTTATTTGGTTCATCCGACCCATTTTCAAAAGGACGCTTATTATTTCTATTATGAACTTTGAAATTTAGTTTTTAAAATATAGAGTTATCATCGTTAAAGAAATTAAAAAAACATTGAACAAAAATCCGAATTATTATATGACAAACTGATAAATTACCTTTATTTATTTCATGTTGACCTTATAAATGCATATTAGTTATTAGCACGATAGGGCTAGATTATACAAATTTTGAAAAATACCAACCTTCCTGATATACATTCGGTAAAATTTTACTCGTGTAAACGGCCAAAGGATGAGTCATATAACTTTCTTCGGAAGAATATTTAGATGCATTTGCAATTCTAAAAGCCTCAGCGGCATCCATTTGTTGTTTTTCGATTCTGTAGTTTTTTTAGATACCATTTTTCAACGATATCAAAAATCTCTTTGGAAGTTAGTCTTTGTGAGGGAACTTGATGCCAACAACGTTTAATCAATTCGCGGTAGAAGTCAAGTACTCCTTCAGGTAATTTTGGTCGCAATCCATCGCATATAGCTAAAGCTAAATCGCCATCGAAAGGACGTTTACCGAATGGAGGTTTACCGACACACCATTCCCACATAACCATTCCTAATGCATAAACATCTGATGCCATGCTGAAAGCCTCTCCTCGGAAAATCTCTGGTGCAACGAATGACATCACACCAAATATTTGGACTTTTTCCTTACCGAACACGCTTTTAGTGGTATTTTGTCTGATTGCAGCACCCAAATCACAAATTGTAGTCTCATATTATTTAATTGAAGAATATTACCAGGATGCAGGTCACCGTGTATAATATCTTGTGAATGAATAGGATCAGAACAAATATCATATAGCACTTGTATGCGATACTTCCATGTTAATTTGGTGATTGCTTTCATATACAATGGCGCAGATCACCAAGGCTGGCATAAGTGATAGCTACCAAATATTCTCCATTTGAAGGTTGCGTGTTATCCAACATACTTCATAATATCGAACCCTATATATAAATGAAAAATTAAAGGATAAGTTAATGTAAATAAAAAAGAAAGCAGAGGCTATCATTTCTTACGTTATTACTTCATCAGACAAATGATAAGAAATATAATAACTTGATATCTAATAAAAAAAAGTATAATTAAAACAAAAAATAATAAATTCAAAAAAATAAAATAGTCAATTTCCAACCTAAAATGCAAAACAAAATCGTTGATTTCTTACGTTCTAAATAAAAGATAGAGTAATGGATTAGTTAAATAAATTATTAAAATCAAAGGAAATTAAAATGAAAGATGCAAAATAAAATATCATTTATTTCTTATGAACTAAATAAAAGATAGAATAATGGATTATTAAATAAATTAGTAATATCAAAGAAAAATTAAAGATGCAAAATAAAATCGTTGATTTCTTACCATCTAAATAAAAGATAGAGTAATGGATTAGTTAAATAAATTATTAATATCAAATGAAAGATGCAAAATAAAATCGTTGATTTCTTACAATCTAATAATAGATAGAATAATGGATTAATTAAATAAATTATTAATATCAAAGAAAATTAGGATGAAAAATGAAAATAAAATCGTTGATTTCTTACTATCTAAATAAAAGATAGAATAATGGATTAGTTAAATAAATTATTAAAATCAAAGAAAATTAAAATGAAAGATGCAAAATAAATATTTGATTTCTTACGCTCTAAATAATGATAGAATAATGGATTAGTTAAATAAATTATTAATATCAAATGAAAGATGCAAAATAAAATCGTTGATTTCTTGCCATCTAAATAAAAGATAGAATAATGAATTAGTTAAATAAATTATTAATATCAAAGAAAATTAAATGAAGTTGCAAAATAAAATGGTTGATTCTTACCATCTAAATAAAAGATAGAATAATGGATTAGTTAAATAATTTATTAATATCAAAGAAAATTAAAATGAATGATGCTAAATAAAATCGTTGATTCCTTACGCTCTAAACAAATGATAGAGTAATGGATTAGTTAAATAAATTATTAATATAAAGAAAACTAAAATGAAAGATGCAAAATAAAATCATTGATTTCTTACCAACTAAATAAAAGATAGAATAATAGATTAATTAAATAAATTATTAATATCAAAAAAAATTAGGATGAAAGATGCAAAATAAAATCGTTGATTTCTTACAATCTAATAATAGATAGAATAATAGATTAGT